GGGAAATGAGGGACATCTGTGATAGTGTCAACAATAAAAAATAAAATTAAAAAAAAGTTTTTTAAAGTACATATGTGACTTGCGTTGTATTTGACAGAACTATTCTAGAATATAGAAATCTTAAAGCAAGAAATTTATCAAAAAGAACCTCCCTTACCTTTTAAAGTTTGGAATACTTTTCATCATAAATAAGAAATATTGCAGAAAAGCAAGGGAATCAAAGTACTAAGGGAAGCTATAGAATTGCCAAAGGAGTTAGTGCAATGTTAGGTTTCATTGATTTTCCCAGGAAAAATTAACTATTCCTTTCTCTTCTAAAGTGTTTTTGTTTGTTTGTTTGTTTTAGAATTTATATTTTAAGAAAGATATAGGCAATCTAGACTGTATCCTTGGTAAAGCTCCTACAAAGGTGAGGTCTCATTACCACACCAGGGAAGGCAGCAATTATTCGTGGGTAAAGACATGAACATATTCAGCCAAGTGAGAAGACTCAAGAGGCATGATAGCTGTTGTCATTAGCAGGAAGTTTGCCATGTGAAAATGGAATTGACCCAAAAGGTTCAATTAGGTCCACATTACTAGTAGAGAAGATGATTCTAGCTTTAATACTGTATGGAACAATTTTAACAATTAGGGTTGTCCAAAACTAGAAGGAACTACCTTACGAGAGTTTGTCACCAACAATTCAAGCAGGGAATTATACAGAGGGTTATACATCAGGTAGATAGACCTTCAAAAGTTTTTCAAACTGTGAAATTCCATGATTAAGGCTTTATTTACAACTAATTCTGGCAGAGAGCTGCCAATTCATGCATTATGACCAGAAAAACTACAGTTCCATGATTTAAATTAGTTTTTTTGTTTAATATACATAATAATTCACTTAGGTTCAAGAAACCAGGGGTTATTGTAGAAAAATATATGGTAGATAAGGATCTCACAAGACGCAGGGAGAGGGACAGTGATACAGCGGACTTGACGGAAACTGTAACAGGAACTGAAGCAGCATCTGCTATCTTCCTCTCAGGCTGGTCAATCTCTTTCTTCTTCATGGTGTCTGCTGTTCTCAGCATTCTCCCTCCATTCTATTCTTGACTGGCTTCATGTAACTCTACTCAGACATCATTTCTGCTTGTTAATTAATTTCAGCTTGCCTTTGAAGGCTTCTCTAGCCTTGAATCTACTCCATGACCTTACACCATGAGTCCTCCCACAGCAAAGAAAATGTTGTCTTTTTCTTTTTTCTCTAGTCTTTCATTTTCCCAATTTTAGTTTCATGAGAATAATTGGCCCAGCTTTTCTTTTCAAGCCCAGATCACTGGCTGCAGAACGGATGGACTTCCCTTGGATCAGATGGCTTCCACTGATCCAAATAGCTGGGCCTGGGGAATTTTACTTCTGTAGGAGAAGGAGGTTTCTACCAGAAGCAGATGTGGGCTGGGCAGGAAATATTGATATTTCTGTAATCTCCACTGAAAGTTGGAGGTCATGGAGGTTATCCTAGAAATTTGGAGATCTGCTTAAATTATTCTCTGTATAGGAAGAGAGAACCTTTTCAAAAAGTTCTGGTTTTGGACTAATAATAAAGATATGAATTTTGCACTAGGATGTGTTGTAGGATCCTGCTACCCAAAGTGTAGTCCATAGAGCAGCAACATCAACACCACTGAGGAGCCTGTTAGAAATCAGAATCTAAGGCTTTACCCCAGACCTACTAATTTAGAATCTACATTTTAATAAGATTTCCAGGTGATTTGCATTCATGGTTCAGTTTGAGAAGTGTAGCTCTAAGATGAACTGATTTGATTTAGTCTTTCTGAAAGTTACCAAAGGCTTTTACCAGCAAACTTCCAGTAGTGATCTATAGCCACATGAGAACCAAGTGTGACGTTGTCAGAAATTTTGTGAGTTAGTTGATTTCATGTTTGGTAGCTTGAAATCAGCTATTGTGTGAACATTTACACCATGGAGATAGGTAAATGTTACAAATTCATTTCCTTTGTACCAGGAGACAGTTGTTAAACACTTACCAGCAATTCCACTGGGCAATCTAGGATTTAGTCTCCTAGGGATTTTTGAAGAGAAGCACCCATATATGGGGGATGGAAGACAGACAAAATGATTCCAATTCCTTCCACATTTTCAAATTTATGACTAAATTTGAAAATTTATGAAAATATAATCTGAGTCTGAAGTAAGCCCAAGGAAGGAAGGGAATCTAGGAGTTGGTAATATTTAAAATGCAGATAGGCAAACACTGGAAATTTTCCCAGCTGACAGCTGGCTAGTTTAGGAGCTGAAATCAGGTGTGCAGTAGCAATTTCTATATAGAGGAGGAGAAGATAAGAGTGGGTAGATTCTGGTCCTAAAGACACCATGTGGGGAAATTCATGTTTTTATTGCCTATATTATATGGAGCATTAACTTATTAAACAAAACAACAACTCCTCCCCAAGTTAATGATAGGTAGGATGCAAATGTTTCATAGTATTACAGAGGGAGTGGAACTGGACCAGTACATCAGCATCACCTGAATACTTATTATACATGCAAATTCACAGGCCCACCCTAGGCCTATGGATCAGAAGCTCAGTGCGGTGGAACCTGGCAATCTGAGTTTTAACGAGTCTTCTGGGTAATTCTGATGCACACACGGAAGTAGGAAGTATCATGGAGTTCCTTTTTTTTTGGTCCAATAAGACCCATTTTCAATTTGAACCCCAAATGAGAAGTGACTCTTCTTGCAATGAAGTCTTCAGCTCAACTGGAAGATGGTTGAGGGAGGCAGAAAACACAGATCAGGAGAATCACAGGGCTAAGCAAATATTTAAAAGCTTTGCTTAGCCAAGCAGGCAGGCAGCTGGCATGTTGCCAAGACTCCTAGAGAGTATAAGCCTTTCTAGAAATCAACTGGAAAAAGTTGTTTTAAAGTGAACTTTGAGGAAGTGCATAAAAACAGTCTAAAGATTTTCTTCAAATATGAATAAAAGTTCTGATATAAAGAAAATGACATCCTAGCACATGTAGGGATAAGAATAGCAGGTATATTAAGAAATAAGCAGATATTGGAAGAAGGCATATTAGAACAGCATATTCATTTTGCCTCTCTGGTTAAGAACTCTCACTGGTTCCTTACTAATGACAACACTTAACATTAAATGAGTGTTTATTTTGTGTCAGGTACTGTAGTAAGTACCTTACTAAATTATCTCATTATTAGTCCCAGATGAGGAATCTGAGCTCAGAGAGATATAGTGAGTTGCCCTGGGTCATATGGCTAGTAAGTGGTGATACTGGGATTCAAAACCTAGGAAATTTAGCTTCAGAACACCACTGCTTAATCAGAATGTTCTACTGCCTCTCTTCAATGAGAACTTCAGATGCATTAAACATTTAGTCTTGGAGTTCCCCATTTCTCAGTGTGGATTTCTGTAGTTATTATAAGTTTCAAACTAAATAACCTTTTTCTATGTTGTTATATATAGATAACTGGACTCCGAATCCCACTGACTAAAGTCATCAAATTCTAGTGCTCAAAGTGAGCAATTAGGTAAAGAAGCTGCACCACTATAGGACATTGTTTTAATAGGGCTTACAAGCACACTACATGAGTTCCACATTGAATATTTAAATTCTCTTGTTTTGAAAGGAGACATAAAGAAGTACACAGATGGGGGCCAACTGACTCTGGCTACGGAAGGGGAGGGGAGTCTAAGGACCAGCACCTCTAATCTGGGTGTTTGTTTTGTCTGAATGGATTTGGTAAATTTCCTCCTATCCTGGCATTTGTTCACAAATAAAATTCATTTTTAAACAGAGGTTAAAAAAATAAACAAGACATGATTTCCGCCCACACTGAGCTCAGATTGATGGAGAAAACAGAAATATTGTGGGAATAGTTGCACAACTCTGTGAATGTTTGAGTTGTACAATTTAGATGGGTGGATTGTTTGGTATGTAAATTAAATATCAATAAAACTCTTTAAAAACAAACAAAATCAGATATAAGCCCTGGGTACTGTACAGAGTCATGAAGAGATGGTCATAACTCAGTCTGGGAAGAGAGAAGGGAGGCTTCATCAGTGATTAAAGTCTGAGCTGAAATCTTTTTAAAAAAGTTACCTGGGTGATGTGGTACAAGATATTCCAAACAGAGGGGGCAGAATGAGCAGCGGGGTGAGGAGAAACCCTGGGTGTGGGAGCGGGGAGGGTGTTGGCAGGAAGATTGAGGCTGGGGAGGTAGGTGGAGGCAGAAGCAGCTTCCGAGGTAGTCCCTGGAGGGTTTTATTTAAACTGGGAAGTGACACAATCTGTGACCAGATTTGCTTTAGATAAATCACACCGTCAGCTGTAATGTAATGGGAAGAATACTGGTTCATTTTTTCCCTCCCCAGTCAGAATAACCTGTGCGTAGGTCTTACATCTGCCATATTAAAACTAATAGTGTTATATAAATTTGTTAAGTCTTGTTCTTCAGTTGATCCTAATGCCATAGTTAGCCAGCAGGGGCAACATGTAGAGCTGATAAATATGACCTTAAACCCCCTCTGATCTTGCGCTGAGTCAAAAGGTTTGTTAGGGAAAAAAAAAAAAAAAAAAAAAAAAGGTTTGTTAGTGATTGGGGCACCCGCCTTGGGTGTAGTGGCAAGCCTAGCGAATTTTTAAAGTCTTTACAAGACTGGAAACGTGGCGGTGGAAGCTGGTGAGATTCTCCAGATTTTCTATTTTTCATGCTTCTCCTGGGCACTCTCACCATCTATTAAAACGATAGTACACTTGCAGAATCAAAAATTAAAATGGTTAGGACACCGCCAGCAGGACCGTGTTCTGCAGGAAGAGCAGATTTCCTGCAAAACGTTTACGCTCTCCTACCGGAACCTTGAAACGCGGCGTCCCGGGCAGCACGGAGGGCTGAGGGGGGAACACCGCCACGGGGCACGCCGTCCAGCGCCCTTCCCACTCGGCACCAAAGCCGATTTTGGTTCCTGCCCCTTTCTTGCTCCTCCTAATCTCTTCCCCCTCCGCCAACTCCGGAAGGGAACCCTTTCAAAATTTCTTCCACGTGGAAGCGTAGGACCAATTTCATCAGCACAATCCGGAATGGTCAACATGGCGGCGGCCGTCAGGTGCCTCAGTAGAGGTAAAGCCTGGCGTTGTGTGGGCTCCGGGGGAAAAGACCGGTGGCGCGGAGTCTCCTCTTGTACAGAGTGCAAGCCAGACTCCTACGCAAGGGCCTGCACTGGGGGCTGGGAAAGCCTCCTGCTCGTTTTGGGCTCAAAGTTCTCGAGGGTCCTTGCTATGGAAAAGCGACCTTCTCTGCGGCCTCACCCCCTTTGGAGCCGTCCACCCTAGGAGGGGAAGGGGAGGAGGATGTCCATCGACACCCCTCCGGCCACTCGCAGCGGCCGAGGCAAGGACGGGGTCTGTCTCCGAGACTGGTGGGGTGCAGGGAGAGAAGGAGTTGGCTGGCTAGGCGAAGTGAGTTCTGATAAGGAAAAGGCTGTGTAAAGGAATGGGTGGCTCACAACTGTAAACTTGAACGTTTACAAAATGCTTGTTGGTCCGTTCAGGGTACTACCTAGTTGCAGGTGATTTCAGTTCTTACACTTCCGAAGACGTTGCCTCATTGGGATCAGCAGTTGTCCTTTGGTGGCTAACTCAGGCGTCCTTCTTCCTCCGCATTTCCGAAGGTCCAGTTAGGTGGCAGCCCTTTTTTGGCACATTGCTCTTTAAGTTTTGTTCTGTGTTGTGTTTTCGAAGCACAGTGATGTGTATAGTTATTTAATTAAGATAGGTCTTTAGGTGGAAGCATCATCTAGCATCACCCCATTTTACATATTTCAGATATCCATATGTGCACGAATCTGTTGTTGGGCTGTTTATTGTCTTATTACTTTGTCTTTCTATGCCTGTGTCAATGCCACAGTCTTAATTACCATAGCTTTATAACAAGTCTTGATCTCTGGTGAGGCAGTTCCTTCACTTTTTTCGTATCTTTCGGAAGTACTTTCAGCAACTCTGTGAATGTATTATCTATTTTTAAAAACGGGTAAAATTTAAATTATTTTATATATTCAGGACAGACATACATATTCTGTAACGTACTTTGAGCCTGAACTGGGTTAAGTTAAAAATAAGTGAAGACAAAATTGTTCAATTTTTTGTGTTTACTTGGCTTTAGTTTTAAGAAGTGGAGTGTCCATTATTACACCTTTTAAAGAATGGTTGAGAATCACAAAATATTGAATGTTTTTGTTCTGGAAAACACTGATTAAGAATATAAAAATTGTGAATGTAATTATCATTTATTAATATTTTACGTGTTTTTTTCTTTCAAGTCTTGATACATCAAAGGCATAATCTTTCCAAGATGGCTTATCAGACACCTCTTTATCCTTGTTCTGCATGTGTTCATGTGCCTAATAGACATTTTGCTGCTGCTGCTGCTGCTAGGAGGTAAGTATTTTTTTTTTTTTTTTTTTTTAGTTATTTCATTTGCTATCATCTAAAATTTTGATTAAAAAGATAACTTAAAACACTACTTAATATTTATTGAATACTGACATTCAATTACGAGTTTAATCCCCACAGCAACCTTATGTGGAAGCTATTGTTATTCTCTTTTAGAAACAAAAAGCAAGGCACTGATAGATTATGTAACTTGTGCAACATCACAGAGCTAGTAAGTGTTGAGGCTAGGATTTTGTGACATAATACATATTTACATTAGTCTACCCAGTTCCTGACACAGAGCTTCTAAAATCCTTGTAAATCTCCTGAGTTATAGGGATGCCAGGAGCATCTTTTGTTCTTTTTTTTTTTTTTAATTAAATCTTTATTGTTCAGATTATTACATTTGTTCCTCTTTTTTCCCCCCCATAACTCCCCTCCTCCCAGTTCCCGCCCCACCCTCCGCCCTCACTCCCCACCCACTGTCCTCATCCATAGGTGCACGATTTTTGTCCAGTCTCTTCCCGCATCTCCCACACCCCCTTCCCCCCCCAAGAATAGTCAGTCCATTCCCTTTCTATGTCCCTGATTCTATTATAATCACCAGTTCATTCTGTTCATCAGATTATTTATTCACTTGATTCTTAGATTCACTTGTTGATAGATGCATATTTGTTGTTCATAATTTGTATCTTTACCTTTTTCTTCCTCTTCCTCTTCTTAAAGGATACCTTTCAGCATTTCATATAATCCTGGTTTGGTGGTGATGAACTCCTTTAGCTTTTCCTTATCTGTGAAGCTCTTTATCTGACCTTCAATTCTGAATGATAGCTTTGCTGGATAAAGTAATCTTGGTTGTAGGTTCTTGGTATTCATCACTTTGAATATTTCTTGCCACTCCCTTCTGGCCTGCAAAGTTTCTGTTGAGAAATCAGCTGACAGTCGTATGGGTATTCCCTTGTAGGTAACTGAGTTTCTTTCTCTTGCTGTTTTTAAGATTCTCTCTTTATCTTTTGCTCTTGGCATTTTAATTATGATGTGTCTTGGTGTGGTCCTCTTTGGATTCCTTTTGTTTGGGGTTCTCCGTGCTTCTTGGACCTGTAAGTCCATTTCTTTCACCAGGTGGGGGAAGTTTTCTGTCATTATTTCTTCAAATAGGTTTTCAATATCTTGCTCTCTGTCATCTTCTGGCACCCCTATAATTCTGATGTTGGTACGCTTGAAGCTGTCCTAGAGGCTCCTTACACTATCCTCGCATTTTTGGATTCTTTTTTCATTTTGCTTTTCCGGTTGGGTGTTTTTAGCTTCCTCGCATTTCAAATCATTGACTTGATTCTTGCGCTCCTCTGGTCTGCTGTCGGGAGTCTGTATAATATTCGTTATTTCAGTCCGTGTATGCTTAATTTCTAGTTGGTTCCCCAATATAACATCGAGGGTCTCATTAGTTTTCTTGTAGATCTCATTAAGTTTATCGGCGGCTTCTAAACAGTTCTTGAGAGACCTTAAAAGTGTGGTTCTGAACTCTATTATCTTCCATTGACAATTTTGTCCTGTTTCTTCGTCTCCGCATTTTGTTATGCTTCCTTGGTGCACCCCCTAGTGGTCTTTGTGCGCAGTCTTATAGTTAAACCTTGATTGTTGTAGCTAATACCAGGGAGGGTTTGACCTCCAGGCCAAGTGGCTATGAGAATCAGCTGTGTCTGCAGTGAGAGAACTTCTGTCCTCTAGGGAGGTGCTAATCTAGCCTTTGCCTGAGGCTATCCGGCAAATGCCTCTGTGCTGGGCTTGGGCGGGGCGGGTCGCACAGGATCAACAGGGTGGGCCGGAGAGAGCAGTTATGGCGGCTCTCAGTCCTGTCCCCAGGGGCTCTGCCTCTCTGAGTCCCAGCACCCGCTGCAAACCTCAGAGAGAAAGCTGCACTCGCTCTGACCGAAGCCAGACAGTCCCGCTTCTCCCGTTTGAGTCTGGGTCCCTAAAGACTCGCCTGTATCTGGAGCTCAGAGTCTGCGACTCCCTCCCGATTGAAAACGCCAACCGCGCCCTCCGCCGCCAGCCCGCTCAGCGCACTCCGCACCTCAGAATTTGACTTCAGCACTGTGCCTCCTCTGAGTGTCCGTATGCGTTTCTCTTTCCTCCTAGTTGTAGGACTTCCACTCAGCCAGCGTTCCTGTGGTTCTGGGTGATGTCCGTTCTGTTTTTTAGTTTCACTTTTGAAGTAGTTGTTCAAGGCAGCAAACTCCGGCGTTAACCTATGCCGCCATCTTGGCTCTCCCTCTTTTGTTCTTATATCGGGTCTTTGAACCATTTCCTGATACGGAGCTTCTAAAACCCTTGTAATTTCCTGGGTGATAGGAGCACTTTTTTACTAACAAAGCAACTCTTGGTGGGCTCCTGGATTGGGGCTGGTCACCAGAAAGACCAAAACATGGTTAGAAGCTTAGAACTTTCAGCCCCACTCTCCATCCTACAGGGAGGGGAGAAGGCCTAGACTAAGATTGAGTTCATAATTGATCATGCCTACATGATGAAGCCTCCATAAAAATCTCTGAACTATGGGGTTCAGAGAGGTTCTAGGTTGGTGCACACAATTTATGTGTCAGAGTGTAGTGCTCCCAACCCAATGGGGACAGACCCTTCTGGATCTTGTCCTATATACTGATTTATCTAGCTGTTCATCTGTATCCTTTATCATATTCTTTATTATGTAAGAAACCGGTAAATATTTAAGGGTTTCTCTGAGTTCTGTGAGGCATTCTAACAAATTATGAAGCCTGAGGAGGGGATTGTGCTACACACTGATTTATAGCTTGTTGGTCAGAAGTACTGGAGGCCTGGACTTGTGATTGGCATTTGCAGTGAAGGCAGTCTTGTGAGTCTGAGCCTGTAACTTGTGGGATCTAATGCTAAACCAGGTAGCTACCGTCAGAATTGTATTCAATTGTAGGACACCTACCTGATGTCAGAGAATTAGATGGTGTGGGAAAAAAGCCTGTGCATTTGGTGTCAGAATTCTTGTTAGTAGAGGAAAATAGTTTCTATTTCACCAGATACTCTGTTCTGTTCTTGCTTACTTTGAACAATCTCCAGATATATCTCCACATATCTTGGAGATTGTTTCAGGTAGAACTGTCTAGCCATTCTTTTTTTATTGAGTTATAATTGACATATAACATTAGTTTCAAGTATACAGAATAATGATTTGATACTTATATATATTGTGAAATGTTCACCACAATAAGGCTAGTTAACACCTATTATCATAGAGTTACAACTTCTTTTTCTTGTAAGGAGAACTTTTAAGATTTTTCTCTCTCCGCAATTTTCAAAAATACAGTACAGTATTATTTACTACAGTCACCATGCTGTACATTACATTCCCATTATTTATTGTAAAGTTTGTACCTTTTGACCATTTTGCCTACCCCTCACTTTTCTGCCTCTGACAACCACTAATCTATTCTCTCTTTTTTTCCCTTATTAAACATATAAGTGAGATCATATAGTATTTAACTTTCTCTGACTTATTTCACTTAGCATAATATCTTCAAGATCCATCCATGTTGCAAATGACAGGATTTTGTGGCTAAATAATATTCCACAGTTGAGTACACGAAACACAGAGTTTATTCTTGTCTTATTTTCCATATGAGCAACTGTAAACCTATTTTTGCCCTACCTTGTATATACCACATTTCCTTTGTCTATCCATCCATCAATTGATACTTAGGTTGCTTCCATGTTTTGGCTATTGGAAATAATGCTGCAGTGAACATGGGTATGTTATATTGTGTGAATTTACCATAATTTAACCATTTTCCTATTGCTACATTTATTGTTTCAATCTTTTGCTATTACAAATGATCCTGCAATGACTAGTATGTACATAGATCTTGTAAAATATTATTAATATGTTTATAGTATAAATTCTGAGAAGTAGAATTGTTGAGTAAAAACATGTGTCCTGGCCTGCGTTGAATGTCGACATATGAACCAGGGTCACGGTTCGATTTCCAGTCAGGACACATGTCCAGGTTGTGTGCAGGAGGCAGCTGATCAATGATTCTCATTATTGATGTTTCTCTCTCTCTCTCTCCCTTCCTCTCTGAAATCAATAAAATATAAAAAAAAAAACAATTTTAATTAAGAACAAAAAACCTCTCCTCTTTGATATATAAAAAAAGATGTGTGCATTTATAATTTTGATAGGTAATAGCAATTTGCCTTTATAGAGATCTTGTCAGTTTATGTCCTTACCAGCAAGTATTATTAGAATGCCTATTTTCCCATATACAGTGTATAGTCAAAATTTTCATTGTTGCAAATTTGATAGGTAATAAATGGTTTCATCATGGTTTTAATTTGTATTTCTTTTATTATTGAGGTTGTATATCTTTCATATACTTAAGAGCAGTTTATTTATTTTTTACTGTGAATTTTCTGCTCATGTCCTTTTTTTTTTGTTTGTTGATTAACAGAAGCTCTTCGTATATTATAAATTGTCAAATATCTGCACAATAGCTTTAACATGTTTTAACTGTTGTGGTAGAGGAATGGATCAAGTGCTATGGGATCACAGATGAAGGAGAGTAGTGCAAGAAGTATTTGAGCTGGCTCTTGAAAGAGTTTTGCAGGGGGATTTGAGAATGGTGTTTCAGTGATATAGAGGCATGAAAGTAAATGATATGGATGTAATACAGTCTGATATGAATTGAATATAGGATAAAGAGAAAGATGGTGGGGGTGGTTGGAGGGGGCTGATGGGGGAAAAGGGGACATATGTAATACTTTCAACAATAAAGATTAAAAAAAAAAAAAGAAAGAGATGGTGGAAATAGAACTAGAAAGGAGGCTTCCTTTGAGTGTGAATAGTAACTGGATTATCTTTTCTTGTTGAGAAGTTGGAGAATATTGGTTGTGCCAATTTACATCCCTAACCAGCAGTGAGAGTGTCCAGTTTTCCATATTCCTAACAACCCTGGATATCATCAATCTTTGTGTTTCTTCAG